CAGTGAAGGACAGGAAGTCCTGGCGCGATATGGTTCATGGGGTCGCGAAGAGTCAGACACGACTTAACGACTAAACAACAATAACAACAACACTGTAACAGCTTCTTGACTTTTGTACTATAAATCAGAAGCGCTGTGTCCTTGTGGGCCTATTTATCTGTTCTAATCAAGCTTGCCAGGGATAAGCCTGACCAAAATAGCAAAAGAGAATAATTATACTTCCAACTAATTAAAACTTCCAAGATTATTTGTAGGGGGTCAAAAAAACAGCTGAACAGTTATATATAGCAAAAACAAATTATAGTATACACAAGTCATAAGCAGAGCAGAATCAATATTTCCAGAAATTAGGTACAATATTATTTGCTTCTAAAAACATTAAAAATGTCTCACCTTGAAAAACGGAAAACCACTATAAGTATTGTGCAGATGACACCATATAATAGCCCTACATTAGCAGCAAAGCAAACTGTAAACACATAAGTGCTGACCCAAATACTCTGAAAGATACAAAAGATGAAAACATATTTAATAATTAGATACACAAAATTCTTTCTACTAGTGATTTTATTAGCTACATAATTAACATTTTCATTACTTTAATTAGAAACAAACAGATGTAAAATCTGACAAGCTATTTCATAAGATATATGTTTTAAATTTGAATAATTTAACAACTGCATACCTCAGAAGACATATTGACCTTCTAAACTGGTAAATGAACAGTATTTCATTCTCTAGAATATTGAGCATCTGCTGAAGCATGTATGAAATTAAGGCTGTTCAAAGCATTCAAAAGGGGTGCTTTGCTAAGCACATTAGTGCAAACGAAGCTCTCCAGCCCTCCTTCTCAAAGCACTGAAGCAGTTGCATCCTCTGGAAGTCAGAAAAGCAAATGTGCATGCACACACATGTGGAAATAACCAGGGAAAGTCTTTGAAGCAGTCAAGCTGACCCTTTGTGAATCATGACTGCTTTATTGATTCAAAGAAGGGTGTTTCACTGTGCTTTGCCCTTTTCCCATGCCATCCTCTGATGCTGAAGAGCCGGTTCTGGACACTCCAGTTGAATGTCAGCCTCAGCCATCAGGGAGCAATTAAGCACCTGAAACTGATTCCACCAGCAATCACACAGAGTACGTATGCTGGGAATCAGATGACGGGGGTCCCAATCCAAGCAGCTCTGTGAACTTCAAACAGCTGAATAGAGGGGCTCAGCATGCCCCCTTGTGATGCAACAGCTGCATCACCCTTAATTGGTTCCCACCCAGTGGTTGCCTTATATCAAGGCCACTGCTGCCTAGGGGCTCTGTCTTGGGAACAACCAATTCAACTTGACCTTGTATGCTTGTCTTCTATGACTCATGTACCCTGAACTTCTGCTTCTCTGACTTCAGACTGGCCAAAGACCTTCCTATGAACACTTGAACCTTGGACTGTGCTCTGACCATACTACCTGTTTGTTGCTCTGGCTTGGACAAGACCTCAGATTTCTGTAACCTTTGCTGGAGTATGCATGTGCTCTGCCTGCTGCTGCTTGTAATTCACTTGCAACGCATAGTAAAGTACTTAAACCTCAACTTGGTGTGTGTGTTTGGTCTTGAACAGGACAGTTTTCAAACACTTTGCGCAGTTCCAATGACAGCTCTTAAGTTAGTATTCCAACTGCATTTTTTAAATACCCCTTTTGGAAGCTACTTGCAATGGATTGCCAAACAAATCATACTTCAAAATGTGCATTAAGCAATACAGTAATGACAGAAATATATATATACTAGTTAAGCTAAGAAGTGGTAAGATGTTCCTTAACAAAACATGAAAGTGTGAAAACCTCTGGATCTAGAAACTATGTCAGTGGAATACAACTAGACCTATCTTTCTCCATGAAAGCAGCCACATAATATCCCTGTGAGATAAATAAGTTAAATGTGACTAAACAGCTTATCCAAGTCAAGTGAAGGGGAAATCATAAAATGGAAAGTATCCAGTCAACTTGGCAGCCTCTTCATTTTCAGAAGAGGGCAGCATGTAGCAAAGAATTCCTGTGGGCACACTGCAAAGAGGAAGAGGCAATTGGCATCGCATTCTGTAATAATACTTAGAATTTGGCCATGAGCCTCATAGCCAAATGGGGTGAATGTGGCCAGACTGATCCAAACCTTCTAAAGCATGGTAGATATCATTTCTCTGCTGTTTACTCCCTACTGGAGAAACCAGTGGATGTTCCATGCTAATGTGCAGCAAGCTGTGTGAAGAAAGCCCAGTACATATTCACATTCCAGAACATTGGTATTATGAAACCTAGGAAATATACTGAATTGGCCTTCATCTCTTAAAAAATAAAGTAAATATACTGCAGGTAACTTAATAAGCAGCACAACATTAGAGGAAAAAAATCAACACATTTTATAAGTATATGCATGGAAGGCTGGTCAAATTGAAATATAAATATAGGTACCTGCATCCCTGGAAACACTCAATTAGCATTGTGAATTAATTGAAACTTACTTCAGCCCCACCATAAGAAGCAGTACTTTAATCCAGAAAGCTGAAGGCAGGGATTTCATTAATAATTACATTCTGTATTATAAAAGCTATGTTATCTTCTACCTTCTTTGTTTATAAGCTTAAAGATGCATGCAGATAGCAAGAAACAATTATTTTTTATTTCTAACAAATTCATTTGACCAGCCCCTGGACAATTACACATCATTGGGAGAATAAATATTCACATAGTGTTGGATACACAACAGAGAAGAGGTTTCAAGATTATAAATATCTTCAAAACTAGTATGTCCGCCCCTATAGAAAAGCAGCAAATGGAATATGGTACCATGGACAGTTACAGCTTTAGTATACCACTCTCTGAAATGTGACTGTAAACAGTAACAAGTCGCTGTTACAAGAAAAGTGTAACACCCTTCAATAAATTTCAACCCTGAATTACTGTATATTCCTGAAAGATCTAATATTCATGATCCTCAGAGCATAAATGTATTTTAAGCCATGGCACTAAGAGAATTGAAGTTGAGGGGTTTTTTTTAAATAGAATCATAGACTGGAAGGGCCAGAAGGAAGCTTGGAGATTACCTAGGCCAGCCCTCTGGTCAGTGCAGGAATCCACTGCTATCGGAGATCGTGATGGAGGTGATGAAATTAGCATGAAACAGTGAGCAAGACGGTAAAATTAGATGGTGAGAAAGCATGACTTTATATATTTCAAAATATATTTTTATGCATGCCTCTTCTGGTTTCTTAGATCATCTCCTCATAAGGTTGCCTGTTTCTACTCAAGGACCATAGTATTTTGACATCCCCTTGATTTCTTCTGATTCAAACAAAAATATCATAGCATGGAAAAGAAGGAAAAATCATGAACAGAAAATTAAAAGTGCCTTTTAACAAATCTGGAATTTGTTAAATTTCATATTCAAACAAATATGGAATTTGTTTCCATATTTATTTTTGCATTTGCTTGGGAATTTTCAGAAGCTTCTTGTTTTAACATTACTGGATTTCAAACCCTTTTCATTTCAAAGCACAATTATAATGTAGAAATTTTGCTGTAAGGCAAGATGAAGGAGCACTAAGTAAAATATTATATTCTAATCAGAAAAACGTGTTATTAGTGTTTAGAAACAAAACAGAAGCTGGAGTACTCAGGAATAATGACAAAGGTCCATTTCATCTCTAACATATGGGGTTTTAAGGAAACCAAAATTATGGGGAATTATCCTCTGGTGACTAATTGATATTTGAATGAGGCAGTTTGATTATTTTCAATCTCTTCCATTGTGGACATGTTCCTATATAAATCATATCACAATGTGTACTTCTCAGAGCAAATTTGCCAAATTGAAATTACAATCACATCTGGAGTGAAGTCATTTCTTTGCAAAAGCATTGAAGCATAGAACCTGGGAAAATGACTGGCTCAGGACTTGCATATTAAAATGATGACTATGAATTTCAAGCAGAAGACAAGGAGAACAAAAAACAAAGGCTCAGGATAACGCTTTATACAAATCCTGAATAGCCGAAAATAAAAATCAGTGTTTGAAAAGAGAACCTTGGCTAAAAGCTCTAACTCATGATCAGCCAAAGGAGAAAGCTATTTTTGCAGCAGTAGGTGTTGCATTTTAAAGCCTGCAAACTAAATATATCATGCAAAGAAGGTCCCATCCAGCTGTAGTAGTTGCTTCCTGATGTTGAAAAAGACATCAAAAGAGCAGCTTTTTAGGTCTCGCAGCAATGTTTCCAGGCTGCCAAGGGGTGTAAGTAAGTAATGGTGGCCACCACAGTCTTTCTTCTTCAGTCTTCTTCAGTCTTTCTTCTTTGTTTCTGTTCGCTTTTAATCCTTTGTTTGCTGCCCAGAGTCACAACTGCAAGGTGGGCAGCTGAATAAATTAATATAATAAAGAAAGAAATAAGAATCTAAGGCAACTGATCAACTGGCTTGGCTCTTCAGGTTTTCTAAGGGAATAGTCTCTGCTTGTGAAGCCTTGCTTGTCTTTAAGCTGTTAAGAACTAAGAGTGAGTTTCTGTTCTTTCATGCTATGCAATTTCAGGCTGTCTGCAAACTATTCTGGTTATTCTTAAGACTGAAAGTTTTTGCAATGTCAGAACATTTTTGCTTCTATATAACATTTGATATGTGATAAAGCAAAATATTTAATTGTTTCTCTTTCCTATACCATTTCTTGTTTTTTTAGCTTTTGACTCATCTTTCCCTGAGCGTCCTATGGAGTTTTAAACATCCGAGCAAGATTACAGTATTTATTTCAAAAACACTTGCTGAGCAAGTGAAGGCCCCACCTCTGGCACTAGGATATTTCAGTCATTAAAAGGACACAAATGCCTGGATAAGATTGGCCAAGAAAATCATCTCCTTACCTAGCTCTCACACTTTTAGAGGTTTACTATGGTCTTCAATCAAAATTCTTAATAATATCAAGATACTATTCTGATGCACAGCAAAGAAATGTTGTTTCTTTTTCCATTAGGGATAAAACATAGGCACTATCTTTAAAAATATATAGTTTTCTGGCAACATAGTTTTAAAAACACAGCAGGGACAGATTATCACTGTAATCATTATTATCTAAATCTATATCTACACATAAACTCTCATCTTACAAAAAAAGAAGGAAGAAAGGATATAAGCAATCAATAAAGTCTTTGTATTTTGAAACTAAAATAACAATACATATTAAGTAATGCATTCTGTGCAAGTGAAAAGCTGAAGTATCACAGCAATTAGATCTTAAAAGCTAATCATAAATGTTTGAATATTTTTACCTGCCAATCCAATAAAGATAACACCCTAATTTGGTTATTTGAAGTATACCTTTCAAATAACTGTTATTTATTCACATACAAACCCCCAAAATTATTTCCAATTGTTTTAAGAAAGTTTATTTTCTCAACTCACTTGAACTCCTTGAAATATAATGATGGATTTCTAATATACCATTAGACAGTTTAGAGATCCCTGAAGTTCCAATTAACATTATTGCAATCATGTTTCTTTGAGACTGTGAAAGTATCCAATTTTTTTCCCTATAACACGAGGTTAACATTCCACAGGGATTCTTAAAAGAACAGTGACATAATTACCATTTTAGCCACAAATAAGAAGGCAGATTCCCCAAGATCTTATGTCAGGTGTTGTCACAAAATATTCCACAACTATTCCTCAAAGCATATGTGTAATTGAAAGCAGATATATAACTTCCATTCCAAGACTCACGTTTCCATATTATACAGAATAGCATAATTTTTCATACACATGGGCAGAAAGAACAAGGGACCAAATAATGAGCATGTAAAATTAAATAGTTCAGAAATACCCAGATCTAAGCAGCTTCAGTTTCCTTGAGAAATGCTAAAAACGTTAAGCCTTTCTCATGTTCTGAACAGTGATAAAAATTCCCCTATTTGTTAATCAGCTACAAACTGATCTGAAGATTGATTTGTACTTTAAGTGTTCTTGTGATAGACTTCTGAAGTAGAATAAAGGGCTTTTGTTTGGGCGACAGTATTGAATCACTGCGTACATACTTTTTTGTCATATATAATTTTTATTAAGAATTTTGATTTTAATGGTAGTTTTATTAGATACAAACTAAACTTAAAGAAAGAAAAGAGAATAGAACGAAGGAGTAAAAAGTGCAAGAAAAAAGAAAAAGAGCGAGAGAAGAGAAAAGTTATAAAGAAGTGACTTCCAACCTTCATCACAAGTATAAACACATTTAATGACTCTTCACTCTCTCTAAGGTTACAAACATTTATGTTTTCATCCCATATCCCACCTCTTATCTATAAACAAATGCATCAAACATCATCTTTTCAGTCCTGGTGTCAGCAGAAAGTCCATAAAGGGTTGCTAGAAATAACATCTTTTTTTTAACGTTAATCAAATAAACCAACTTTATATTCCTTCCTTTTACTTCTAACAGTCTCACAGTAGAGATTTCT